CATAAAATCTTAGTATTTATAATGTTGGTGTAATCAGTGATATTTTTGCTGTCAGTTGATACTATATTCAGCTATATTTAGTTTTTCTGAGCAAAAATCTCGCAATAGTCATTTTAAGCCTCCCGAGCCAAACTAGAACATCTCGATCCAATCGTAAGCCTTCAAATCGCGCTCGGGTCGTACTTTATTAATAACACCAACAGACGTAAATCGTGAGCTTTCTGTATACGAATATTGTCGTACACAGTATACACAATACAGTATACATATATATATATATAGTCGTATACACTTCCGTAGAATGTGTAAATAATTAAAAATAATTAAAATAAGACGTCACGAGTAAGCAAACTTGTCAAAATACAATATCAATTGATAATACTAGGCCTACCAATTCCTCACAAAACAGATGGACTTTCGGTTATCAAATACCAGTGACAAATCGATAAATGAATGGTCATATTCCAGACGGACCCATATATAAAAACAACAAAGTCAACACACCGTTAGCAGATATGATAATAAAATAACACGTTGTAACACAACTTACAAAATCTTTATCTTCCGTAGTTTCTTCTATTGAGCGAATGCTCGCTTGTTACCAGTTTGTTAGACTGGTACTCGCTCCCATCTCGATTACTCGATAAGTAAGACTAAGCCTTCTCCTAAGGCTCCTCCTAAGCCGAAAGATGGGACCGGGTACCAGTCTATTAGTTTGTAACCTACGCCATCTAGTGTTGGCTAATGTAAACGAAAGACACACGTTAGATTTCCTCGATATATGCTATTAGAGCACAAATACCTCCTAACTCAAATAATGTGCCATGTAACAAAATCAGGTTCGTGGCTAGCGAGAGGGGGGAGGACAAGGCACCCCAGACAATTGTAGTTAGATTACTACTACATGGCCAACGGCAATGTCCAATGGTCAATAACAAATGGCCACGGTCAACTGTCCAGAACACAAACTGCGCATGGTTTTGATCCCAGGTGGAATGGATTTACTACGCCCCAGGAATGTGATAACCACGAATGATTGGTAGCCACGAATAAATATTTTCACTTCATTTCAATTAAATTACAGTAGCAACGTGCACTTTTGAGAATGCTATTAGAATGAATCGCACTGTGGAAAATGATCCTATAGACACCTATGTATTGGTCGCCAGCATTGAGCTGTATATAATCAAGAGTCAATAATAGAAATATGGACTCTATTAATTGTCTATGCACTCTATGTCTTCTATTATGGACTCTTGATATAATAACAGTTATACAATATTAATACATATCATAACATAATAAATACAATAATAGAAATGAATGAAATACAACAATGCAAATTCTATAATAACCGTAATAATGTTATTATACGCAGTCGCAGGGTTAGTGGTGTGTGCAGCTTCGCGCTGCTGCCGCAGCGAGCGCTGCGAGCGCTAGCAGACTCCAGCGGCAATATCGTGTCCACAGCAATCACTGGTCGCGCGTTTTCCCTGACGCGCGCACAACACACACACGCGTACGCGCGCAGCGTGCATGCGTAGCGCGTTCTCGTCTCTCGCACTCCTTCGACGAGTGGTGTTCACACGTGCGTGCAAGTGTGTGTATGTGTGCCTGTGCGTACGTACGTACCGTCTTTGCTGCGTGCATGTGTGCATGTGTGTGTGTATATGTGTGTGTGTGCGTGTGTGACTATCACCGTCGGAGAAATGCGGAGTGTCACGTGTGAGTCGACGCGACAGACGCCGTGACGTCGCTCCGCCGTGCCGCGTGCGAGCGTATACGTGCCTTGCTGTTGATGCAGGTTCCTCAAGCTTTCAGGTGTGGGTAGAAAGTACGCGCGCTAGTGACGTGATTGCGCTGAACGCAAAGTAGCGTCAATCCTTCGCACAATCCTTCGCGAGAAAGAATGACAATGAAGACGCGACCGTTGTCCTGGTTACAGCGCAAGCGCACTGGCTGCGAGTCGGCATACATTTTCCATCGTCATCGTCGCCTCTTCTGCTCCGCTGCGACGGACGTAAGCGCAGTGGCAGATGCCGTCAGAGCGGGGTGCCGCGCGCTCGCTAAATTATAATGCAACATGAAAGCGCGCCCGTCCCCCTTGGGAGAGCAGTTCCCATCTGCTCCGCGGCGCGGCGCTGACGTCGATGATAAGTGACTGGCACGCAATCGGAAAACCCATTCGGCTCTTTCCGTCATTCCTAGAAAATAAAAGCTATTCTGTTGAATGGCCCGAGGGTTCCCGATTGACTGGCACGCACTCGATGACGTCACGGTGGTGGTCGCCAGAACTCCAGAACGGAAATTATTGGCTATTGTAATGATAAATTACTGATGATTATTTAGGGCCAGTCCTGCCGTGTGTGTTTCCTTTTATAACTCGCTGTAAATAATAACTTAACAACGCGTAACAGCGGCCGCGAATACTATCGTAGTATCAGAAATTATTAAAATGCAACTCGTTTTCCATTCACTCCAGGTAATCTCAGCTTTCATTGTAGTCATAATGTTAGTCATAACTCTATTATAGGGCATCGTGATAAACCATCGCTTAACAACGACCCCGCCCTAGCTCTACATAGTTATTCTCGCGATAACCGCTGCTCTGGAAGGTTCACGCAATAACATCGTAACCCAATAATGTTCGCATAGTACTTTGGCACGCAATAACGTCGTAACCCAACAGTGTTAGCGTAGAGATTCGCCGCGCAGTAACGTCGTAACCAAACAGTGTTAGCATACAACTTTATCACGCAATAACGTCGTAACCAAACAGTGTTAGCATGGAGCTTCGCCACGCAATAACGTCGTAACCCAATAATGTTAGCATAGAACTTCATCACGCAATAACGTCGTAACCCAACAATGTTAGAATACAACTTTATCACGCAATAACGTCGTAACCCAACAATGTTAGAATGAAACATCGCATGACTAGGGTTAGGGGTAGGATCATGATTGGGAATAGGGTTAGGATTAGGGTTATGGTTAAGATTAGGATTAGGATTAGGGCTAGGGTTAGAGTTAGGGTTAGGGTTATGGTTGGGGATAGGGTTGGGGATTAGGTATAGGGTTTGGATTAGGATTAGGTTTAAGATTAAGGTTGGTGTTAGGATTATGGCTAGAGTTAGGTTCAGGGTTAGGACCAGGTTTATAGTTAGGGTTAGACAGCGAAGTGCACCTTCTCTTCTCCCCCCTCGCCCCACCTCGCCCTCCTTCCTCCATCATCCTCCATCATTCCCTCTCTATCTGCAGACTCAGGGGAGCAGCGGTTCCGCAAACACGGCCTAAGAGCTCGTTGTTTGCCGCATGATGATTCACTCATAGCATCCCCGCTCTGCTCTGTTTAAAATCCAACCCTGCGGATCGGAACCCGAACGAGCTCTAGTCGGGCGCCGACCAAATACGGTAGCCATCGGGCGCACAGCGGCCTCGTTCGACGCGTGCCAGTCTAAAAAAGCGCATTTTGCGAAACCCGTTTCTTTAATTGAGCGCGCGGCCGCTCTTGATAATATAATAATATCGTGTCGCAAAGAATCGATATTCAGCTTGAATTAATATTTCATTGACTCGCTGCCGGTTTTGTCGTGAAATCGTATAAAAATGGCGTAATTAAGTGGCGCGGTAGTTCTGCGCTCGTAATGCTGCATTGAACCGTCTTGATTGCTTGAATTAATTATAATGGGATTGAGAAATGTTTGCGATGTACTGCGGCGCACCGTATAATAGACTTATTTTCGAGGTCACTGGAGGTTAGAGGTTTCCCGGCTGGGGGGGGGGGCGGTGTTTGTCGGTACAAGTGTAGAAAGAACGGATCAGTTTTAGACGGCCGTTGTATATATATACTATTGCCAATATATATATAAGATAAATTTAAAATAGAAATAGGTGTCAAAATTTATATTTATTATTTTATGTTTAAAATTAAATTTTGACACCTATTTATATTTTTAAATTGATCTTATCTCTTTATGGGTGTCCGTGTGTTTTTACTATATATATATACATACATACATATACGTACATTCATACATGATAAACTATTATATAGGTCCAAAATGCTTTCTTCCGGGTTGGCGCATGCTTGAAACATCAACTAAAAACATGGCTCTATAATGCAATTAATAATCATTATAGAATGTAATCACACAGGTACCAGCAGTAGGAAAAATATCTAGTAATGCACATCATAGACACGCGGTGTTTACTATGGAGGGAGAGGAGGCTGGGAAGGGGGAGGAGAAACATGGCTACCCCCGACTTCCCGCGACTTCCTGGCGGCTCCACGTAGCGGGCTGGGTTTCCAACTCTAACGCGCTATAACGCTCGCTGTATTCTCGTCTCGTTATGTTCACTCGATCGCACTTCGTCGCTGAACAATGGCGACCCGAAACCGCGTTCGCACGTGCGTCGTCGGCAGTGAGTCACACACCTGTCTACGTTCCGCCGGATGCTGGGAGGGTGTGCAGTTGCTGCTGACATCACCAACATCACACAACAACATCAGTACCACAGCAGCAACATCACACACCAACATCAGTACCACATCACCAACATCACACACCAACATCAGTACCACATCACCAACATCAGTACCACATCACCAACATCACACACCAACATCAGTACCACATCACCAACATCAGTACCACATCACCAACATCACACAACAACATCAGTACCACAGCAGCAACAGCCGCGGGTTGGCCTAGCAACGCGTTCGGCAGAGCAAAGCTCGAGTTGCCTGCGCTCTCGTTCTCGTTCGAGGACCGAATCGCTGATTACTGCGAACTGGATACGTGCCCGGAGTAAAAAATAACGAGTCTAACGCTGCAGAGACTGGTACGGAGTTAGCTTCGTCAGTCGTCGATCTCGGACGTGTGGGAAGAGAGAGTGCGCCCTCGTTCTTAGTCGCAGTCCAGTTAAGTTAAGATCCCTGGATGGGGTTGAAAGCGGAGGAGGCAGAGGGGGAGGCGGGAGCCGGAGGGGGAGAAGGGGGAGCCGGAGAGGGTGAAAGGATAGCCTGAGGGAGAGACGGGGAGTCGGAGAGGGAGAAGGGGGAGCCGGAGGGAGAGAAGCGAAAGCCGGAAGGGGAGACGGAAAGTCGGAGAAGGTCATGCGGGGAGCCGGAGAAAAGGAGCCGGAGAGAGTGAGAAGATGAGGGCCGGAGGAGGGAAGAAGGTGGAGAAGTAAGTGGAGAAGAGAAGGTGGAAGACGGACGTGATAGGGGAGGGAAAAAGGAAAGGAGTTCGGGAAGAGAGGAGCTTGAAGCGTTAGAGCAGGTAATGTGGACTAGACGGAGGAGGGGGATGCAGTGGACGAGGTAGGGACGAAGGAATGAGATGAAGGCTAGAGAGGAGAGCGCGAAAAAAAAACAGCGGAATTTGAAGCGGAGGCAATGACAAGCGGATGATTTAGAAGCGTGGAAAAAAAATAGTAGTAGAAGAAGGCGGGGGAGTTGGAGAAGAAAGAAGCCATCCCAGCATCCTCTACATCGGTGATAAATGAACGTGGCAGCGTTATCGCTTGTGTAC